GGGGGGGGGGGGGGGGGGGGGGGGGGGGGGGGGGGGGGGGGGGGGGGGGTAGTCAATTTGTGTCTCTATGTGGTCGTTTTGTGTCTCTATGTAGTTGCTTTGCATCTCTTTATGGTCACTGTGTGCCTGTTTGTAGCAATTTTTCATCTCTTCATAGCCATTTTGTGTCTCCCTGTGGTTGTTTTGTCCCCATTTAAAGTTGTTTTGTGTCTTTTATGGTCTTCTTGTGTGTCTTTGTAGTTGTTTTATGTCTCTTTGTGGTCATTTTGACTCTTTTCCTGGTCAGCACGTATTCATTTGAGTGACATTTTGCAGGTGACAGCCTCTTTGGACCCTGACACTTTGTCCCCAGGCCTGTGCCCACTACCAGTTCAGTAAAACATCCATTATCACACATTTGTCTCGAAAACTATATATGAGCAAATGTTTTTTTTTTTCCATTGATAAGTTTGGTCTACAAATATCCTTAATGTGTAAGCCATACACCACCTGTCTTATTAGTTCAGTTTGGCTTTATCTTGGAGATATGCTCATACAATTAACATAAAATGACTTCCAACAGTGCACTCAGCAGAATACAATGTGCTCTGAAGCCAGTCAGAGTTACTTCATAACGAGTACTGTGCACATTCAACATGTCTTCACTGAAACTGTTGATTTCAAACACTCAAAACTGGACATTAAAACACAATAGTTTCTGTACCCAGGTTTAAAATATGTTAACCCCACTGTAATCCTGGTGAAGGTAGTATCAAAGAATAACTGTAAGACCAATATTATACCCCTGAAATCCCAGTAGGAGTATTATAGATTTCAACATGTGATCTTGTTTATCATAATTCTTTATCAACTGGGTGCACTTTGCCTGCCATCACACCACATAAGGGTGATCGAGGCAATTAAAAGAATACCATGTGGACAATAAAATATGAGCAGATCAACGTCCAATACAACGTGGAATCTGTGTGCATGTGTGGAGGTAGGCCTATATCCTGTATAGCGAATAAATCACAACTAACTTGAAATCTTCTTCTGTGGACTTCCTTCGGACAGAATCTCATTAAAAATTAGAGTCTGTGGTTTACTGCAGCCAACATTTTCATATGGGGTCTATCTGAGTTATACAAGGGCTGATAAATGGGCCCCAACGGGTTCATCCACAGAATCCAGGACCCCAATGTGTTAGCCAACTGGAGAATCTGAGCGGAGCCCATGTTTCCTCATCTGGCCTCCAAATGTGTAGCACAAAAGAAAGTGCCTTAACACTTAATTTACATTTTTAATAACACACAAATTCTTTGCAGAAATGAGCAGTGACACAAGAGAAAATACTGAAGTGCTCTCAAATTTGAAACAGAGTCACACATGTGGCTCTGATGAGCTACTGGCAAACACAGACCTGTTCATCTGTGGGTAAACCACTGACGTATGGTACTACTCAGGCCATTAAGTTAAGTAATCAGAAATGTATTAAGCAGGGTGTTAGCCTGGTCAGATTTCCTGCATTCATTTCAAAATACCACCAAATGTTTCTCATAAATAGCACAACAGCAAGTATATAACTACACTGGCTGCTTTGTGTTCAACATTATCCTCAAGTCAACATTCATATGTGGTAAAAAAAAATGCTGTGGCTGATTAAAAACATATAAAATGACTTACAGTTTTTTGTGTTGTGATGTAATAATGCACGCTGTCATGTATTACTGGGACACTCGAACAGAACAGAGCCATCGTTAATGTTATTAGTAACACCTGTGCTTTTCCTACTGTGACAAGTGAAAATGGCTGCTGTGAAAACAGCCTACAAACTTATAATGGGAACTATTTAAAGACAATATTTAGAAGAAAGTGCATGGCCTGATATTCATTTATTCATTCACTCAAAGTGTCAGGGGCCCCCTGGAATACATGATCCAGTTCTAACAAGCGATTGTTCTTCGTGACCTTGTTGAATGTCATCTTTACAGATAATGCCAGTGTGTTTACACAGAGCCTATGTAGAGTATAAACTCATGTTGAGGCCTTGATTTCATCAAAGCATAACTTCAACGCTAGATTAAGTAACTGATCTGTGACACAGTCGTCTGCTTTGTTAGATTCTGTTTAGTTTTGAGCACTCAGGATGTTGTGTGGCACAGGCTCAGACAGGGCTCATCATTTGGGACCCATGTGGGTTGGCGATCATTTTCATTTTATAGCTCAGAGTCACATGTTTTACATAGTACCTTGACAATCGTCACAGTTTAAAGGCCATTAGATGGGATGAGGTGAGATGAGCCACAGGGGCTCCCTAAAGCCTCAGCTTCACTGTGTGTTAGTCATCTATGATGATTTGATTAATTGCAGATTAGTTCAGGAACACATGCCACTAAAGCACAACATCTGAAATAATTAAGACAGTGTTTAAAGGTTGCATTACTTGGTCTTTAGCTCTCTTCGTGGAAATAGAATAAAAAATGCGTTGTGCTCATGTACACTGATGAACAGAGAGTGTAGGAAAGCAGGTCAAGTAGGGGCCCTCAGATAATGTTTGCCTGGGGTCACCTTGCATTTTAGTAAGGCTATGTTGAATGAATAAAAAAATCATTTATGATTTAACAGAAATTTAAATTGAAAGTTTTGTGGAGAAATACTGTTGTTTTACAGCCTTTTCCTACATTATTACAATCAGACACCTTTTATAAAGTGATGGCACTAAAAGTTTAACAGAAAAACACTGTTATTCTACAGATTTTTCCTGAATTATTACAATAAAATACCTCCAGTAAAGTGGAGGAATGGTCAAATGACTGGTAGCAGTGCCTGCCAAACGAAACCCGTAAAATTAAGATAACATATCCTAACTAAAATAACGTGCAAAAACAATAAATCTACAGAAATTTTCATTAAAAGTTTTGCAGAGAAGCACTGTTATTTTTATTTATTTTTTTCGCCTAAATTATTAAGATCAAATACATACAACAAAGTGATGGTACTAAAAGTTTTACAGAAAAATATTCCTACTTTACAGATTCTATCCTGAATTATTACAATGAGGGACTGTTTGTTACTTGCTAAAGGGGAATGGGTGGTGCAAGGGGGAGGAATGTCAAATATTTTTTTAAGCAATGGGGAGGGACTTATGTTTTTTATTTTCCCTTATACTGTAGGTATGAAGGACTGAAACTGCTCAAATCAAAAATAAATAAATGGCTCAATAAATAAATAAATGAAATCATAAAGAAAGAAATGTAGAAATAAAATGCCCAATTATCAAATAAATTTGCAGGTTAATCTGAAAATAAATAAATATGCACAGAAATATAAAAATAAATAAATACAATTTATTTATTTATTTGACAAATTACTTATTTTCTGTATTCATTTATTTTCATATTTATGTATTTCCTCATTTATTCTTTTATGTTGACATTTATTTCTTTTTACATTTATTTCTATTTTTTATTTTACATTTCAGTAAGAGGGATATACAACTTTAAATGGTTGTATTTTGTATTTACTTTACAGCCAAAGGCATGTTATTTATCATAGCCAGAAAATTTGAAAAAGAAATTATCATTGGCTTTTCATATATGATGGTCCCTGTACACATCATGTGCGACAAATGCTTCCGTCAATAAAATGAAATAAAATAAAATAAAATAAAATAAAAACATAACCAAATCCAATCTTAAAGGAGCTTTATGTAAGAAATATAAAGCAAATAGTCATAAAATCCTCCTAATATGTCACAGAGACTAAGGAATAATGTTCATATAACATATTGATCTCACCGACAACAATAGTACAGCCAGAATATTTGCATCTAAAAAAAAAAATTTACGGTCCGCAAATCATGTTTATGTTTTGAATTTGTGTTTTGGCCTGTTGCGCCACCCACCGCCATCTACCAGTCACGTAGTCAGTAGAGTCTCAGCATCAGTTAAAGTTACGACTGAGCTACAGCAGCACAGCAAGCAGCATTAGCAGTGTCCCAGTACATAGCATTAGCAGTCTCCTCAGCTGTATCCCGGCAGCAGCGTTAGCAGCAGAGAAGCCGAACTTGCTCGAACGGTCCCCCGGAAAACCGAAGATCAAGGACGCAGCTAACTATTGTTTGTTAAAATCACTTTATTCTACTTGTCTCATTTAAAATTTGGCCAAAAATAAATCATTTGCACAAACTAAAAGCAAGAGTGGAAAACCGAGTTTTTTTGTTGTTTTTTTTAACTCCAGGACTGTGTCTTTAACCTTTAACTTTCAAACATCAAATGGTAAGTTGTTAAAATCTAATAGCTAATTTATGGTGGAGGGAGGGTCATGCATTTCTGCCAGTCACTCTGGAAGGCTCAAGGAAAATATTTGTAGTTTTGGAGAGGGCCAAAATAAATAAAATTAAATTAAATAAAATTCAATAAAATAGAATAAAATATAACAAAATTAAATTAAATTAAATTAAATTTAAAAAAAAACCAAGTCTGACCCCCTCCCCTCCTCTGATAAGTAATGAACAGTCCCTAAAATACCTTCAATAGAGTGAACAAAGCTGGTAAAGTAAAATATCCTGGTTAAATTATGTAATGTAGGAGTTCATGTTTTCCATACACAGTGCTAATAGCCCGTTTGAATAGACATTAAATAATATACATTATAATCGTCATTCGACCTAAAATACCCCTGGCTTACGACATATTAAGAAATCAGTGTGCTGTTATGGGTGACGTGACGTGACGGCTGGTCTGAGAGGAATTCCCCGGCTCAACTTTTGCCCCTTTTACCTTTGCCCCAGAAACAGCACTGTCGCTGACGTCACAGTGCCGCGCTACATCTCGCGATAATTACTGAACATAAATACAGCTGCTGTCGCCTCAGTGTTAGCAGTCAACTCATTGAAAGTTTGGACACATTATCAACTATCGGTGAGTCTTTACTTTAACTCTTTAAAGTTACTCTGTAAACTGCGTCACAGCTGTCTCTGTGACACATTCACGGGACTTGTTAATATGCGACAAGAAAAGACTACTGTAATACGGAAGTAATAGACCTCTAATTATATGCTGGTGTGGGTTTATGGAGGGGAAAGTCATGTTTATTTTGTTCTTGTGAAAAGAGACGTTACATGTTGTGTCTTATCTCTCTATAGGTTTTGTTTCAGCAGACATGGCAGCAGCTGCAGTTATCTCAAATCAGGTGAGTTTGCTTCAAAGACTGAGCACTCTAACTAAAGGTTATTTAGCTTATTTAACTATTTGTTGGTAAGTGTTGAAGAAAAAGCTGCTTGTATCCTTTTGAAAGACAAGAAATGACACTAGAAAGTAATTTTACACACTCTGGAATAAGAAAAACGTTACTTTTTAATGTAATAATCAAAGTATATGCAATATTACATTTTAAAAGTTTGGAAACTGTCCAGTTTTCTCTAATATTACTGTTATTTCTTTAGTTAGTAACATCAATAGCTAAATTAAACTGTGAATTTGAGTACTGTAAGCCATTTATTCACTTTGTCTATACAGAATGTGGTGGAGAGGGTGACCAGCCTTCCTTTGGTGAGCTCCACCTATGGCTTGGTGTCCAGCGTGTACACCAACACCAAGGACACCCACCCTTACATCAGGACTGTGTGCGAGGTGGCAGAGCAGGGGGTCCGCACCATCACCTCCGTGGCCCTTACCACTGCGTCACCCATCATTGACAAGCTGGAGCCTCAGAGTAAGAACCCTCTAGTGGATTCTAGATAAGGCGTGGCTTCATAAGTTTATAGTCTGTCAATACTGAAACTGTAATTATGTGCTGACCAGCTGAGTCACGCAGAGCTTGAAACAGGAAGTTCAGGTCATGCTGCTGGCTCTTACTCATCTTGATCTTTCACCCAGTTTGTCTGTTTACTCATAATTACCCTGATTTGAGCCACAGGATTTAAAGAAACTTTTTTCCCCCTAGTATTTTCTTAGCAAATGTATTTATTGACATCTTTGTTTCAGCTTGCCTTGTTATATTTACTCATTTTTTTGTTGCCTACAGTTGCCATCGCCAATGACCTGGCCTGTAAAGGTCTGGACAAGATTGAGAAGACACTGCCGATTCTCCACCAGCCGTCTGAGCAGGTATGTTCTGGATTATTGAGCAACAGCTGGCACACTTCAATTGTGTCAAAGGTCAGAGCAGTTAGAATCAAGCTAAATTGCACAATGTCATTAATTTCCTGAGGACTCAGTCATGACCTTTGTCCTGTCTTTCTCAACTGCTGTTCTTTACACTTGTACTTTGCTGTAATTTTATTTGCTCATGGTTCTGTCCCTGCCCAGATTGTCTCCAGTGCCAAGGATGTGGTAACCACTGCTAAGGATGTCGTGACAGGCAAAGTGTCCGGTGCAAAGGGCACAGTCTCAGACACTCTGACCAGCGTCGTGGAAAAGACTCGGGGTGCAGTGCAGGATGGGATGGACAAGACCAGGGCGGTTGTCAGCGGGAGCGTCAGCACTGTGCTGGAGAGCAGAGTGGCCCGGCTGGTCAGCAGCGGAGTGGACACGGCCCTCAGCACCTCTGAGAGTCTGGTGGAGCAGTATCTGCCTCTGACAGAGGACGAGCTGGGTGAGTGGGGCCAAAAACCACCTTCAACTTGTGTTACACAGAATCCCATTTTATTACGACTTCATTTTCCTGGTGTGGTCTAAAGCTCAACCCACAATTTATCTTCGTTATTGGTTGTTTGACATTTTTATTTTTGCCTGCTGTTCAGAATACACAAATAAAGGCTGACGAGATTAGGCTTGTTTTTCTGTAACAAGCTGTATCAAGGGTCAGTGATTAACAGGCAGCTGGAGCATGTTGTTAGTGATGGATCTGGTCCGGTTTCCAGGAAAACATTATTAAAGGAGTCTTTGTTTAGAGTGATTCGTTGTGTGCAGAAATAAATAAAATAATCCTGTACACTATTAGTTTAAATGAATCCGTTTTAAGGGATTGACAAGTGAAACACTGCATTTGCCATGGATTTAAACCCTCCAGCTACTTTAACTTGCAGAACTCTACAGCAATTTGTAGCAGACTTTTCCATTCTCGCACTAAATGAATCACTTAGCAGTTACTTATGTGTCCCCATCTTAATGTGACATTTCATGTTTCCTTCCCTGTGACAGAGCTGGAGGCAAAAACTGTGAAAGGCTTCGACAACAAGGAGCCGAGCTACTACGTCCGCCTGGGCTCCCTCTCCACCAAGCTCCGCAAGCGGGCATACACCAGGGCCGTGGCCAGAATCCGAGACGGCAAGCAGCGGAGCATGGAGTTCATTTCTGAGCTGAATGCCACTGTTGACGTGGTGAGTCGTATTCAGTGATAATATTAGAACTGTAGACAAGCTTTACAATGACTCTTGACCTTAAAGGAATATGTCTCTCACAAACAACCATTTGTACATCAATAAGTCAAGCCGTGTTTCCTTGAATTAGTCAAACTGAACATATTTATTTACTGATTGGGGACGAGGTTTCACAGAAAAAGCTAAATCAAAGCATCCATTTACAAACTTACACAACTCATGCTGTATAATCCGAGTCTCATTTATTCAGTCATATGCTCAGTACATCCCAATCACATGCTCTTTCTCTCAAACTTTATGTAAGACTGAACTGAAAATGCATGTGTTTGGGAAGTACTGAGTGTACGACCGGATAAATAAGACTCTCTGATTAAAGGTAACACAGCATGACTGATTTACAAGTGGTTATTTTGTGAGTGAAGTATTCCTTTAACATAAAATGGGAACAAACATCAAGAGCTGCATCCTAGTAACACATTTAGCATTCTGCCCTAAAGTGGCTTTTAAAAATACATGTTTTTTTTTTACATCTTATGGACAGACTGGGCATTTAAAATGTTTGTTTCTCCAGATTGAATATGGCAGAAAGAATATTGACGGGGCAAACAGGATGGTAAACAACAAGCTGAACTCTCTGATGGCGTGGAGGTCCAATGGTTCACACCAGGAGAATGGCCACGAGGCAGAGGTAAGAAAGTGGACAACACAAATATCTAAAAAGATAACAGCATGTTAAGGAAAGATGAAAGCACTTTGAATCGAAACTGTGTCAAGTTATTCATATCTGTTCATCCCCTCCTCTCAGGTGATTGAGTCTCGCACCTTGACCCTGGCACGTTCCCTCACCCAGCAGCTCCAGACCACCTGTCTGGTCCTCGTCTCTAGCCTGCAGGGTCTCCCCAGCCACATCCAGCAGGAGGTGCTCTCCCTGGGCCACTCCGCCACACAGATCTACACCAGTTTCAGCAAGGCTAACGCACTGGGAGAGCTGCCAGACAGTGTGCTGACCAGCAGCAGAGTCCAGCTGGGCAAGATGAAGGATTCTCTCGACCACGTCATGGATTATCTGGTCAATAACACGCCACTCAACTGGCTGGTCGGTCCTTTCTACCCCCGGATTGCCCCAGAGCCAAGTCATGCAGCAATTTCTGGCGCCAGCAGCACGCAAGCTACGTCCTCCAGGTCTTCCTCCGCCCACTTACATCATGAGGAGCCCATGGAAGTCGAAATGGAGTCACTACATTCCCAGCAGCAATAGTGATCCATCACAGCTTTATGTTCTGAGTTTTAACTGATGTATTCTGCTTTGTAGGCAAAGATTTGACTCCTCTATAGATTAAACTGCACTATAGTTCCATGTCAAAAACAATGCTGTTTTATACTTTTTTAATTTGTAATTCTTGCTGAAATTTGTATTTGCTAGCCAGTCTGGCAAAACATAATCCTGTGCTTTCTACATAAACTTTACTGGAATTCATAATTGCATTTCCTGAGTCTTTTTCCCCTTCACAAAAAAATTAAATTGAGTCTAATATAAATCTTTCACATATAATGCTACACTGATACTACACTTAAGTTGTACGTGGAAAAATATAATAATTTTCAGGTCAAACTATGCAAATTTAATACATTTTGAAACTTGTGATGGGTATTTGTCACTATATAATTAACCAAATTACACTGACAATCATGTAGGATAATACAAATAAGCTTTATTATATTTTTAAAACTCTTCAGGACAACCAAAGCACACCTGCTGATCTTATAAGCACATCTGATATTAAACCATACTTCTATAAATACATTTCATAATATGACAAGTTTAAAATGTATTCAAATCCAAGGTGAGAAAAATCCAGGCAATTCATTGCAGGCAGCGACTTCGTCTCGACAGATAATCCATCAAACTCTGAAAATCCAAAATCAGTGGTACATTTCAAGTGTTTAACAGTATATTTTAAATGGCTTGTCAAGTCCCTTGTTATGAAAATGAGGCTAACACTCATAAGTAGCATTTAAATTGAAACTTTGTCACTACCGTGAGCTTCTGAATTTGACACCATGCCACATCATCCAGCACGTCCAAGTTTATTTCATCCTTGGTCTCTTCAGAGAAGCAGACAGTCTGGGAGGGAAGAGAACCACAGGTAGGACACATACATGTAAGTGTGTCGCATCTGATAAGGATCCAGGTCTATTTAAACACCTGAACATTAGCAATACAGAAAACATGTATATTCTGCAAAACTTAAACTGCGGCAGTGGGGAAACTGTCTTCTTGGGTTTGAAGGGTTTCAGTGCGTTATTTAAATGCTAGTCTTACAAGGCTTGGACAATTTCTTGACTTAAATGAAATAATGAAACAGCGTCGCCAATGAACGAGCTTGTTCCAGGTGACAAAGATTAAAAACAACTTACCTGTCCCAGTGCTGTGGTGACAGTGATGTGTGCAGCAGAGCCTATCATTGAACAGTGCAGATCACCAGCAGAGACAACAGACCTGGGACAGCACAAGATTCACAAATCAATTTCATCAAGCACATTACTAGAACTATTTAAAAGAAACTGTCAGGGTACTCTGGCTTCCTCCCACAGTCCAAACACATGCAGGTTAACTGGTGACTCTAAATTGTCCGTAGGTGTGAATGTGAGTGTGAATGGTTGTCTGTCTCTATGTGTCAGCCCTGTGATAGTCTGGTGATCTGTCCAGGGTGTACCCTGCCTCTTGCCCAATGTCAGCTGGGATAGACTCCAGCACCCTCGCGACCCTCAAGAGGATAAGCAGTTACAGAACATGAATGAATGAATCAGGGTTCCCACACATTTTCATGGACAAAAGTTCGAAACCTTTTCATGACTTTAAGGACCAATAATAAATTTGATGTCAATTTTCACCATATAACATGAAGAGAAATGTATAATATACTTTATGCCAAATATTGATTATTATATAAAAAAAACTAAACAGCAACATTTCTGTTCTTTAATTGCTTGTTATTTTTGTCACATTATGTGGCATGTTATCCATGGAAGAGTACTCTAACAATTCATTTCATTACACGCAGCAAAATTTCATGACTTTTCAAAAACATTCAATGGTTTTCACAAATTCCATGACTATTCCAGGTCTTCCCTGACTGTGGGAACCCAGATGCAGCTCCGTAACAAACCTGAGTTTAGGTTTGGTCGATCTGGTCTGCTCGTTGGTCTTGGTCACGCGGCTTTGAGTTCTTTTGACACTGACAGAGGAGCCGCTGTAGGAAAATAAGAGCAATGTCAAGGCCTCTATAATCGTTCACCACATGTGAATACTACAACACCTTAAAGGGACAGTTCACCCGAAAAATCAAAAATATTTTTCCACTTACTTGTAGTCCTATTCATCAGTGTAGATTGTTTTGCTGTGAGTTGCAGAGTGTTGGAAATATCAGCTGTAAAGATGTCTGCCTTCTTTTAAATATAATGGAACCAGATGGCACTCAGCTTGTGGCGCTCACACCAAAACAAACTAGACTGATCAACAGCACTCCAGGTAAGAGGAAAAATATGTACTTCTGATTTTGGGGTGAACTGTCCTTTAACCTCCAATCTTACGTGAGATTTCCAGTGCTGTTACTGCCAACTAATGTTCTGGTCCTTTTTGTCCCCTTTCCTCCCTAAAAATATAGAAAAAAAACATTGTTTAGACAAGTGACTTCGACTCCACTTGCTCAGTAAAAGACCACACATTAGTGTTTACAATTCTACAAGCTATTTATTTGTGTACAAACATTGTCTGGCACATTACTGACCTTAGAGGTCTTGGATGAGGGCCTCTGGGCTGGGCTGGACTGACCTGGTGAGGAATCGGTTGATTTAACTTGAAAATTAAAAGCACAGAAAATGAAAGTTAAAACAGAATAATAGTTTAATCTTAAACAGTGACGTTTCATGCACGAATGACACTGCTTTTTATGGTCGAAATAAAGAAAGTAATGTCACCTCTTTTACTGTGTACCCTCCTGAGGGGCTGCGGCATCTCGAGGGACTCATTCTGTAAAAAGGTGATAATTATATCTGTTATATATTTGTTTGTTTTGTTAATAGCAGCTGTAGAGGGCAAACAGGGAGCCCAACTCACCTTCATGGCAATTGACACATCACTTGCTGAGATTTCCTCTGACAGAGCAGAAAGGTTGATGAAAATAAACAAGACATGAATCTCAATGCTCTTGGACCAGCTATTATCTTATGAATTAAAACGTCTCACCGCATATTAAATCCCCTATGAGCGTTTTTTGAAGCGAAGGAGGCATCTTCATCACCTCCACTTTGAAGACTTTGTCCACTGTTGCCAACATGTTCTCCATTTTGGCTTCTAACTCGTTCATACGCTCCTGTGCTGTAAGGAAACACATTATGACGTGAGAACCAAAATGGAGATGATAAGAGGATGTGGAGAACCTGACATTTGACCCTTCAGTCGCCTCCAGACCTTCTTTCTCAAACTGCTGGATAAAGAGAGTCAGTCTACTCTGTCGCATCTCTCGGCTCAGCTTCTCTTTCAAAAGGTTGTTTCCTGAGTTTTTCGTCCGTCTCAGCGGCATCTTGTTGTCCTAAGGTTCGGCCTGTGTGTGGTGAAGCTCCGGTTGCCGACAGACACACACCTGTGAGCGCGCAACGTTTAATTGAGATATTCATGCGCCTACCGGAAACGAGTCATGTGGTTCTGTGAGAGCTGCGTTGCGTGGCGGAAGGATATCCCTCAAAATGCCTGCTTCAAAAGCAGTGTAAAACCAGTATTTTCCCTGAAGGTGGACTGTCCATTATTTAGGAAAAACAAATTGTCTTAAATATTTTTCAGTTATTTAAGGAAAATAAATGTCTGGTAAAATCACAAAAAATAGTGACCCTTGTTCCAGACGATGGTAAAGTCTCAATGTCCTCAAATGAAACAAAAATAAAGTCCTAAAGTCGCCATGCAAGTACTTCCTAATTTAGTGTCCTAATTGGTCAAATTTGTTGCCGTATCAAACTACAAACATTATTAATCATAAATAAACAAGTTTCAACCGTAAAATGTGATCAGGTTTTGTCTACCTTTATGTCGGGATCGGCTGCAGACTGACATGGCAGAGATGGCTGCCATCTTGTTTTTATATGGATTAGTGTATTGTGCTCTTACTGCCACTAGATGGCACAAAAAGTGTCCACGAATGAGGACAACAGGTCAGAAGGTTAAACTGTTCCAGAGAGTGTAAATGTGACAATATCTCACTTTTTGTTTCCACTGGTGGGATGGGACTGTGCTTTCTGAATACTACATATTGTTTCTGGATTTTTTGTTGTTGTGAATTCAGTGAAAGTTGAAGCCATTCGCACACTGTTTATGAAATCCAAATTATGTAACTTTGAAAGACAGAAAAAGTAAATCATTTCTCATTAAAAATGAAAACTGAAATTTAAAAAAAAAAAAAAAGTGAAGATTCCTACCCAATAACCTTCCATTCTACAGCTTATTTTTTCTCAAGCGTTTGGAGTTTTTTGTTGGGTATGACAACTTCCCAGATGGCTGAAATACATTCATCTGTGCTGATGAGTATAAATGTGATTAACTTGCTTTCTAAAGTATCCACTGTTTGGATTGGACCATGCTTTCTGAGCGATATGTACACTAGGCTTTGTATTTTGGATTCAAGATATTGCAGCATGACAAGACAACCTCACTATTTAATCGACAGCAGCAGCCTCTTATATGCAACATTAAACAATGGAGACCACAAAAGAAGGCAAATGTTGGCATCTGAGTGTCACGAGCTGCAGCCATCACAGAAAAGTGCCCTGCTGTGTTTTCATGTTGCTGCTTCCATTGTTGTCTTACATGCACTCACACAGACAGAAGACAAAAGCTGGCCTCAGAGAAAATGTAAGTGGAAAATATGAGTCTGAAGTAAAAGGAGCCGATGACACTTGACTGTCAGACCTGCGGAGGACAAGATGAAGGAGATGGAGGAGGACTCCGTAATGTAAAGGAAGAGTTTGGAGGATTCAGTGGAAATGATGAGAGCATGAGGAGGGAGGAAATTTGATGCTGACCAGAAAATCACAAAGGATGACAGGAGACATCAAAGCTTCACAGCATGAGGGACAAACTAAAAGCAAAATAACATGCATCTCTGCAGTTTCTCACATGTGACACTAAAACAAATTCTCATCGGCAAAGACGCAAAAAATGGACACATTTTGTTTTCAATCAGTTCACAAACTCATTTATTGCAGCGCACTTAAGTGTAGACATTCAATTCCTTTCCACAGGACGGTAAGAGATCACTTAATCTATTGTTAAAGAACAGTCTCTTCTGTACATCCTCTGCCATAAGGAGGTCAAATTTACAAAGTCAGTACAGGGTGGGATCCCTTGAAACAAACTAAAAGGCAAAGTGGGGATTGTTAGTCATACAAATGCTAAAGTTACACCGTCTGCAATCCATATGTCAATGATACAAAAATAAATAATTGAGAATTTCATCTTGTTTTGGAGGAAAAACTACTGTTTAGAGGTGGTCTCATCTCATCTTCCTTGATAAAGGTCAGGGTTCTTTTTTTTTTTTTAAATCTCTGCAGTGCAAATTGAATATTTCACAATATTATCGCTTCTGTACAAGTCGCTCTCCCAAGGCTACAATCGGACCACCTACGCCCATTTCCCAACAGTTCATCCCAACAGCACTTTGCTTTAGTCGGAGCATTTAGTGGAATGTCATGTTGTGAAACTGTCTTTCTTAACACAGTGTCAGCAGTACTGAAGAAGCCCTTTGCAGTATAAAGCTCTAATTGCTACTCTGTGTAAACCATAAAAGCAATCTTGTCTGCAAATACCCAATTAAAAAACAAACAACCTTACTGGTTCGTTCTAAGCTAGAGTAAGGAGCAGCCCCAGCACATGTGAGTTACAGTTGTAATTTACCATTAGAATAAGGCATATTAGCTGAACAAGTAAAGTATGTTACTGTTAAAAAAACGCAGATATTAAAAACACAAGTTGGACCAACTGCTCCGTCGCTGAGGCACAGAGCCGCCTTTCCCTGCGACAGAACATGTGTCTTCGTTTTAAAGTGTGGGGATCAGTAGTGCGGCATGCCTTTTCACTTCCCATTGATGCATTTGTTTTATAAGCTCACCTCCCACTCGTCTGGTTGTCGAGTGTCGCTTCTTTAAGACCTGTTTTGATTGCAGGGCACCTGGAATGTTGCAGAATTAATTCTAGTGATTGATAATTAGTGATTGTCCTCAGTCCTCTCCCATTCACGTGTGTGCTTCCATTGCGTATTTACACATCCATGTACATTTACAAAGAAACAAACCTGAACATTCATTAAGACTTGGATCACATAAACAGTCATGGAGATGTGTTGCCGCCAGAAAAATAGGCAACCCTGGTTTCAGATTTCCCCCCGAAGTAAACAATATGTACAAAAGACAGGTGGACTTGTGTTTTTTTAGAAAGTGCACAAAGGAACAGTCTGGATCTGTACACGCTCTCAAATAAGTCGGACTGATCTAATGTTGGGAGAGTTAGCGCAGATTTTAGCAGAGCAGGCAAAAGGCTATGAGACAAGGAACTGTCACACACACGGACACACAGATATGTCTACACCATAAGAGCAGTCAATACATTCTGTACAGTGATTAATCATTTTATACACCATCTTTAAAGAAACACACCTCAACTAGTCCCAAAGGATTCACTGCAGCTTTTCCGAGCCATTTACAGAAACAGTCCCACCTGTAAGTAGCTGCTTGGAAAAGCCGATGAAAAGCATCATAAGGTGGTAAAAAAAACAGAAAAGAAAAAAAAGATGATGGGGCATCTTCCAAGAGAAAGGGAAGAAGAAGAAGTACCATGTTTGGGCGATTGGTGGTGTTTGAATACAGAATAATTTTTTGCTCACACCCTGTCTCGCCGCCTATCCTTCCCTCCTGCCACCTGTCGCACTTGACCAGTCGGGTTCTTTCATCTTTGCCGCAGGCGTTTGTGGTCAGATGATGGGGCTGCCGAAGCATTTAAGGCACCACTGGACACTGGCGCTGGGCGGTCGATCGAAGCGGAGCAAAGACTTGAGCTGCTCGGGGCTCAGTTCGTCGTACGCCAGGCGGTACTCCCTGTCGAAGGCCTCTGCAGGTGTACAGTAAAGGGGGGAAGATTCGCAAAGTCAGAAAAGAGCAAAAGTAATACTGATTTTGAGTGAAATTTAGCATTCTTTACTTTTTGAAGACAGTGTCACTTTTAATAAACTAAAAAATGTGCAGTTTCACTGATGATATGCTGATTTACTCACCTACGTCGATGTTCTCCCTCCCCAAGGCCACCAGTGAGAGGAACAATATTTCTCTATAGATACTCCTGAGAGAAATACAGGACACAGAAATGAGACATCAGATGTGTCCACATTAACATTACAAGAATTTAAATGTCTAAAGCTTTGCAGAAAAATAAAAAAGTAACGAGAGCTTCAAGAAGAGCTGAATCAGACGTATCTCTGAGAAGGAGGACAAAAGTCTGACCTCTGCCGTTTGACACCCTCCGGACGCCGTTTGATCTCTCGGATCAACAGGTTGATGGGCCCGTAGACGTCGTTGGTCTGGATGTTGCGAACAATTGTGTTGAGGAGGGTACGAATCTCCTGGTGGTCTGTCGGCGCCAATGTTCCCTTTTTCTCCACTGGAAAACACACGCACCATCAGAGAGACTGTTACTCTATCCTTTTTAGTAAAGAGCCTCAAGTCTTCTGGCCAACAGTGACATTGTATCCAAAGAGGTTAAATAACTACATGATGTCATGTTCTTGCCACATGAGACATTTATATTTAGCTCAGTTTGTCATCAATAAATCTGCATGCTTCCTTTATGTATGGCATTGCAAATAGTTGTCTTTGTCTCCCCCTAGTGGTACAAGTGGTTTCTACAATAAAAAACACTATGCCTTAAAAATAAAAATCGCATGTTTTCTTATGGTGTTTAGGGATGTCAACCACAACAGTAATGTCTAATACAGTATATGAATACTGCGGCCTAATGTGTGTCTGTGCACACTCACACAAGGTCCTCCAGAGCAGGTAGAGGGGCTCTCCATGTTCCTGGTGCAGGTTGATGTTGTCCCACAGGAGCTGGACGTATACCTGCTTGCTGTCCTGGGACAGTGACGTCAGGGGCAGCTGCAAAGATAAAACCATTATTAATATTCCTGTCAAACAGTCCACAAAGGAAAGACATCTTAATATTCTTAAGCAGCTTGTTTGGGACAGAAAGAGTTTGCTGAGTGAAGAAAAGCCTTAACAAAACAGTAACGATAAATGGCATGTGAAGTCTCTAACCTGGACTCCTTTGTTGCAGTGTTCAGAGGTAAGGATGAGACCAGGTAAATGACTGGGCAGGTCCAGACGGCGGAAATACCAAACCAGGTTCCAGAAGATGATGGGGTGCTGGTTGAGGAACTTGTGGGTGTAGATCACCTGTTGGGACATGACAGAATAGCTGAGTCGCTGTGAGGCAGACGTGTTGTTAAGCATATGTGTATGTGAGTGCTTTACCTGATCTCCCTCGTTCTCCAGCAGGGTCTCCAGCTCCTTGCGCAGCACCAACGGGCTGAGGTACGGCACGGACACAGGCTTGGGGTTCGGCCGTTTTGTCCCCATGCCATCCTGACAAACACACACACTGATTACTTTCACAACACTGCAGATACAGTGGTTTCTGTAATATTTAAGCCAATGGGGTAAGTGCTGTGACAGTAAGGAGCACTGACCGACACCTCTTGCAGGCTGCAGGGCAAGCTCGTGGTGGAGACGCCGTGCCCGGGTCTCTGGGAGTAGTCCAGGCTCTGCAAAGGGCCACCGACACTGTTGCTGCGCGTCAGTGACGTCCCACTGCACTTCTGCTGCTTCCCCGCTGCCTGGTGCTCCAGGAGACCCAGGGGGTCCGACTGCACTGGCTCTGGGATCAGACTAGGAACACGAAAGGCAAAGAGGATTCAAGGAAATGTTGTGCTACAAGTCACTTTAGCTTCTTGGGTTGATATGTCTGCAACACATCATCCTGGTCATGACTTTTCACATCTGATGTTAAACTGATTTTACATTAAGACTTCAGGTGTTTCACAGGAAGCTGTTGGGTATATACCTCCTATGTGATCCAGGCAGATTATCTGGAGTCTCCCTTGGTTCTTCTTCAGGGAAAGCGATAAGGTCTGGTGTCTTTATGTCAGCTGAGCCGCTGGCTGTGGGCTGGGCACTGGTGCTGTGGAGACTGTCTTGTGAAGCACTGGGATTCACGTAGAACCTGAGAGAAAATCACACAATTGTCAATTTGCGTTTGCTAAAAGTGACGATACATTGTAGATTTCATTCTACGACAGCTGATTCTTACCCAGTCATTGTGCGCAAGTCATGAAACTCCACATGCAGTAAGGGGAGAAAGGCTGTGCGACAGAAAGGACAGTTGGTATTCAGGTTGGAGTCGTCGGCTGTCCAGCCTGCCATTATCTCCTCGTCGTACACCAGGGCTTCACACGAGCGGCACTGGGAGCAGCTGGACATCAGAACCTGTCAGCAGGGAAATAGGTCCAACCAGTTAGGAGTTATATCAGTGTACGTGTTGGCGGTGGAAGCGCAGCAGCAGCAAAGGTGTGTGTACAGTATGTCTGACCTCCAGTGCACAGTTCTGGTAAATGCTTGTGGAAGAAGCGTGATGTGAGGAGCCTTGCTCAGAGTCTGGACCCCTGCCTGCTCGTCCTGGAGTTGGATCTGCACAGAGAGACAAAAATAAACTCTGGAAAATCTAATCTCACAGGCCAACTAACCTCATTAGGCTCTTTTTCCACTTACACTGAAGTGTATATTTGCACGACAGAATGAGTGCTTACGTATCTGCTGGGTCCCTCGGCCCGTGTCACTGCTGCCGCTGCTGCTGCCCAGGCTGGTGCAGCTCTGGTTGAGACCGTTGGCCACCAACCCCGGTATTGCTCCTCTCTCAGGGCTCTCGTCTATGTCATGTGCAGCCAGCATGTTTTCATCCAGATGGGACGGGAAGCCGCCGCCACCACCCTGAGCTTCATCCTGCAGGGTAAAGATAGGTGGGATTTAGAGGACTGCTTCAAATCATCAGCTCTGGTCAGAATTTATCAGCTAATAAAGCTAATAAAATAATGAAATTCATCCTTTAATGACTCACCTCGTCATCTGAGTAAGAGTAAGCTGAAGCGACTGCTCCCCACACTTTGCTGGCCACATTTGCCGCCTGTTTCATGCCAGATTTAAGCACGTCAATCTTAGGTCCCGACAAGAGGGTGTCCATCTTGATGCCTGAAATGGAGTTGATGACTGAGCCCAATGACCCTCCCTGGGAGGACTTGACCAGCGCTGTCAGTGAGGATGATCTTGGACCCGGGCTTCCCGCAGTGCTGCCAGGAGTCTTTGTCTTTGCTGCGAAAGTCTTGGAGCGAGTAACAGCGTTGGGGCTGCGTTTGGGTGTATCACCTGGGGAGCCCGTTGGAGTTTTGACGGGAGGCACGGGGAGGCTGGACCTGCGCTCCATTGACTGTTTGGGCTGTGGGGTGTCGACAGTGTCTCCCTGGGCCTGCTGGAGCTCCATGCTGGAGGACTTCACACCCAGGGGGCTTCGCAGGCTCATGTACATTTCGATCTCCTCGGCCAGGTTGCGGGACACCACAGCAGGCATGGAGCGCGGCGGCTCCTGGCTGGTGACAGAGGCCGACTCTTCACGCTCGGTCACAAGGAGGGAAAGCGGGTCAGCGCCCACCTCCACGTCCTCCCTCTCCAGGGTCGGCCCTCGCAAACTAGAGTCCTCCTCGTTTGTTTCAGTTTGCTTCCTCTGTCGTTTCTCTGTTTTTATCTCCGTCCCCTCCACCTCTTCACCATCTCCCTTCCCTTCTTCTGATGCTCCTGGCCCCTCTTCCTCTTGCAGCTTTACCAGTGTCAAGTCCTGATCATCTTCATTCTCTTCTTCCAGGTCTTTGAAAAGTGCTTTGGACACACTATTAGGGGGTGGACTTTGGCCCGAACAGAGCGCTGCGGTCAGGATACGGGCGTCGGCACCCATCTGACTGGCCATGTGGTCCACGCCTTGCTCTAGGAGCATCCCAGCACGGGTTTCAGCGCTGAAGCTACAGCTGCGTTCGGCAAAGCATTTCTGCCGCTGCTGCTGAGACTGGTGAGCTACATCCCCTGATGGCAGCTCGGCCGTATCATCAGGAAAAGACACGCTATCATTCTTGCTGTGTCTCCTGAACAGCTTCCCTGTACCTGCAGAATGTGTACAGATAAAATGAAAGTTGTCTGTTTTAATTTGACTAAGAAGACTGAGAAGTCATAGCAGAGAACAAATTGCTACGCTAATTTGTGATTGCACTCTTAAACCATTTAAAATTATTTATTTTTTTAATCTTAAAGACTTGATCTTTTGCCTCACCTGTTTCCCTGCCTCCATCAAAGCTCCCTGTGGACAGCTTCACAATACTGGGGACCGGTGAGGACACATCAACAGCACTGGGGGGCTCTGCTACTGCTACAGCACTGTCCACCGAGCCAGCAATGTCACTTCCTGGTTATATGAGTACATCGTCAACAGAACAACATCAACGCACAAAGAGGAAAAGGGCTTTTCTGGTGCACAAACAACCTTCAAATGCAAAACTAGAACTGGATGTGACTGTCTGCTACATGCATCGTGTAGAATTGAAGTGCATTTCTTACCATTATGCTGTGCTTTGGAATTGTTTCTCTCTTCAGCGGCAAGGACAGCTGTGTGTGAAGGCTCCACCAGCTCCTGGTGTAGCTCATCTTTAGAGCCGTAGCCTTGATCAGACTGCCTTCCTGTGGATCACAAAAATCACACAAACAACGCTGTAACTGCTGTGAAGTTGTGGCCAGTGGTGTCGCAGCAACTCCAGATCTCAGTCACTGGTCAAATGTCATTTCTGACCTTCAGGTTTTAAAGCCTTAGGGCCTGTGTCCACATAGCGCCTTTTTCTGGCTGGGATGACCGCCCCCCCCCAAAAAACGCTCACGAGGGTTTTCGTTTCTATGACAACAATATCTTGACAATTCCTGTAGCCGCGCAGTTTTGCAGCATCGCCTCTTTGTTTTTTATCTATAGTTTGACATTTCTTTCACGATGAACACCAACCGGAAGATGCTTGCACTCATATTATGTTTGGATGAGCTTAATAGTGATGTCCCTGCTGTCACTGCTCAATCTGACAGACGTACATGTAGAGCAAGGAGGATGTGGGTGCATGACACTAACCGTTGGAGGCATCAATACGGTGAATACCATCACCTCGTCCAAGAGCTGCGGTTAGATGGAGACCGGTTCCAGGCCTATTTTAGGTTAGTCGCCGGGTATGCCGATTTTCACCGGGGACGCACGCGAGTAATTCAGGCTGACATTACCTGCTTTTCAGCGAACTCCTCTGGTAATTTAATTAAAAGGCATGGCATATGCGTCCACAGTAGCTTATTATTATTATTATTATTATTATTATTATTAGGTCTTATAAGAGTGGGCTGCAATGAGTACTGGGCCATCAAATCACAGCATCTGCGGTGAGAGGACACGGAATTGTGTGCGCTTTTACGCACACCGGTGTAAGTGATCACGGATCTTTGATGTGGGAAAGATGTAGCCAGATGTATTACCTGTTTTAGATACGTGGTTGTCTGTCCATCCGTCCGTCAGTAGCACGAGTCATGTGCGCCACTTCACCACCAACCCGTGCATAAAAGCGCAAACAGTCCCTCAGCCGGCAGGGAGAGAGCAGCTGCAGGGCTGTCCCTCCCTGAGGCAATGAATGAGGAAATAATCGCCCCAGCGATATAACGAAATAATAAGTCGTTATCACGAGATAACAGTGCACATACACAAAAAAAATACACAGCCGTTCTCGTCTTCCGTATGATACATATACTGTGTTAATCTTTTAATGCTACAGCTGGTGAAGTCATCATCATGTTTTATTAGTAGGATTTTTTTTTAATGTACTTAGTAACTTTGCCACCACTGTATGGGTTAGAATTGATTACATGTGTGTTGCTGTAAAATCTCTCAATTTATATAGGCCTATTGCTGGAAAAATAATTAATTTAACTAAGCTACTATTAT